TTAACTCTCAAAATAGTCTTGGAAGATGGAACAGATGGTTATTATCATGCCTGTTTCCAGTGAGGTACTGAGGGGTAGAGGGGCCTGGCAAATCTGAATCTCAATCCAGATGATTAACATAATATGGTCATTAATAATATGGCCATTAACAGATGGAACAGTTATAGATGAAAAAATTTGGACAAAGATCCATAGGATGGTTAGTGGCTGAGCAGGAATAGAACAATTTTTAGGCTGGGCGCAGTGGCTCACACCTTTGATCTCAACACTTTGGGAGGCTGAGGCGAGCAGACCGCATGAACCTAAGTTCGAGACCAGCCTGAACAAGCATGGCAAAATCCTGTTTCTATGAAAAATACAAAAAATAGCCGGTGTGGTGGCACACACCTGTAGTCTCAGCTAGTTGACAGGCTGAGGCAGAAGGATTGCCTGGACCTGGGAGATCGAGGCTGCAGTGAGCAGTAATGGCACCACTGTACTCCACATGGGTGATACAAAGCTATCCCTCTCTCAAAAAAAAAAAAAAAAAAAAGAAAGAAAAAGAAAAAAAGCCTTTGAGCTTATTACTTTAGTTAATCTAATTTATCCTTGCCCTTACAGTAGGTTTTTTTAGTGTTGCCAAGAGTGTTATAGCATACTCTCAAATCCAGTAGATTATTTTCTTCCATAGGTACAAGGAGACATATTTGAAAAGACAGCATGCAATGCCTTAATAAAAATATTCTCTGTTAAAATAGTAATATTCATGTGGCAGTGGATGACCAAACTTCTTTCTATATAAGCATACTCAAAAAGGAAATCTTGCTCCTACATCATTCTGGAAAACATTGACCATTGCCAAAAGAAATTGAGGAGATATTCTTTGAGTATTAATGAGAGTATTATCTCAATTACTTTAAAAAATCCATAGTATTTTCTCAGTTAAGTTTTTTGTCTATAAAGCTTTGGTGTGCTGTTATTGTTCATTGATGTATTATAGTGCCCAGAGAGTGCACTCAGGCACTTAAGAAATATTTATTGAAATGAAATGAAATTGTTTGTCAATAATAAAAAGTCAAATGGCTTTTTTTAAACCCCTGGATTTTTGTTTGAGGGCTTTAGGGGGTGGTATTTTAATAGTGCATGGATATAATAGCTAAGTTTTCTGTTAATAAAATTATTACTAATTGTTAAGATAGAGGTGATAAGTTACTATTTTACCATGTTCTACAAAAACCATGAAATCTAGGCATTTCATGGCTTGAACAAGCCAGGGAAACTCTGCTAAAAGGAGGTAAGAAATGGAAAAGGGAAGGAAGATGAGTGGACTGTCATGCCAGTGGCTTCGTTAGATGCTTTATATACACAAGCTCATATAATTTCATGAAAACCTGTGTGAAGTTATCCCCCTTCCAAGACAGGAAGCAGAATACAGAGGGGTTTGACAGCCCACCCTCCAATTCCATAGTCTCATAATTTGGAAATTAGGAGATAATGTTTATATCCAGGACTATGTTGCTGCTTCCAAAAGCTATTTGTTTGGGGGCCAGATTCCTGCCAGAAAACCTGGAATTGCAAGTCTAATAGTTTCAGGCAAGAACCACTCTTTGACAACAACTAAGGGGATTTTTAGTTGGCTTTTATAAAGCAAACTAGATATTAGTTGAGGATGAGTGAACCCAGATTTTTCAAATAAGCTATATGAAAATAGATATGCAAATGTACATGTATAGCTTACTGAGTTCAGGTTTTTGTCCTTATTGTAGAAATAAATCTATCTTTTTCAAGGTCATCAGTGACCTTCCTGTTGCAAAGTCCAGTGGTAATTTTCAGCTGTTGTCTTACTTAATCTATTAATAGCATTTGATGTAATTTTTCTCCTTTTTCTTGAGACACTTTTTTTTTTTTTTAACTTGGACGATTCTTAGACCTCTTCTCTTTTCCATCTGCACTCATTCACCATCCAGTCTCTTGACTTTAAATACCCATGCTGATCACTCTCTATTTTCTATCTTTAGGAAAGACCAACTCCCTGACTGCATAATCATATTCAGTTGCCTACTTGACATTGCCACCTGGGCATCTAAAGGACATTGTGTACTTGACATATTTAAGATTGAACTCCAAATCGTTCCCTAGAAACCTACTCCTCCTGTAATCTTCCATATGTCCGTAAATGGCAAGTCTATCTTCACAGTTGTTCAAGCCAGAACTCTTGGCATCATCCTTGATTTCTCTTTTTCTCTTGCCCTGTTTTCATTGTATCAGCAAAGCCAGTCAGCTCTTTCTCCAGAGTATGTCCAGAATCTGGCTACTTCTTCCCACTACTTCTGTCACTGTCACCTTGGTCCAAGAGCCACCAAAATCTCTCACAAGAGACTCCTATCTGGTCTCTCTCTTTCTGCCCATGACATTCTACAGCCTGTTCTCATAGCAGTATAGTGATTGCTCCAAAATATGTCATAATGTCACTCCTTTGTACACCAATATTGACTTGATTCTCATCTTAGAATAAAAACCAGTGTCTTTACAATACCCTACAAGGCCATTCAGAATGTATTCCCCAACCTCCCTATTAGTCAACTCTCTGATATCCTTACTACTCCTCTCTCCTTTGCTTCTTCATCTCCAGATACAACAGGCTCTTTGCTCCCCTTTCCCCATCCCAGGAATGTTTTCTTTTACGGTCTCTGCACCAAAGGTTCCCACAGAGATCTGTATGGCTCACTACCTCATCTCCTGCAGGAATTTGCTCACATGCCTTCTTTGAGTTCTTCCCTGATCACCCTTTAAAATTGGAGTTCCTGGGACCAGGTGCAGTGGCTCACTCCTGTAATCCCAGCACTTTGGGAGGCAGAGGTGAGCTGATCATCTGAAGTCAGAAGTTTGAGATTAGCCTGGCCAACATGGGGAAATTCCATTTCTACTGAAACAAAACAAAACAAAACAAAACAAAACAAAACAAAACAAAACAAAACAAAAATGAGCTGGGCATGGTGGCATGTGCCTATAATCTTAGCTACTCAGGAGACTGAGGCAGGAGAATTGCTTGAATCCGGTAGGCAGGGGTTGCAGTGAGCCGAGATCTTGCCACTACACTCCAGCCTGGGAGACAGAGCAAGACTCTGTCTCAAAATAATAATAACAATAATAATAATAATTGCAGTTCCTCTCCAAAAGCATCTGTTAATGCCAATGCTTTCATTCTTTCCAGAGCTCATGTCACCATCTGACCTACTGTCCATTTTACTCATTTATCTTTATGTATCTTCTGTTTTCCACTCTAGAATGTAATCTCTGTGGGAACAGGAATTTTTACTTATGTCCCTGTCACCCAAGGCAGTACCTGACGCATAGTAGGCACTTTGTAAATACTTTTGGAATAAACAAACAGCTACTTTTTAAATCTTCATCTAACAAATTATAGCTCTAACTAATGTTTTTCCAGTGTTGATTCCAAGCCCTCCTCTGTTTCTTGCCCATCTCTCCTCTCTGGATCTGCTCTGATGTTTGTTGGACTGGTCTCTGGTGTAGTAATGCAGGAAATTCTTAACTCTCTGCTGGCAAATGCTTAGGCATTACACTTTATATACTGTATTTTTATCAACAGTATTTTCATAGCTCTGGCTATTCCTTTGACAACTAGAAAATCAAAGGAATAAAATCCTCTTCTCATGCTGCATTAAGTGGCCACCTCAGTTACCAACGAACACAGAAACTCCTGGAATTTTATTTTTGGTTAACCTCCTTCCCGCCTATATGAGGCCCCACAGTGTATATTCATATACTTATTGCATTTATTCTTTTGGAATAACCCATCTTATTTCCTTGAGATCCATCTAGGGTGGATCTCAAGGAAATAAGTTGGGTTATTTATTTATTTATTCTTTCAGAATAACACATTATTTGCTTGAGATTCATCTAGGGTGGTTATTTTTTATACCAGTTGTGTATATGTAAGGTCTTCCCCCAAAGAACTCCAATTGCTTTGCATGGTTTGAGCAAGCAGGAAAGTCTGTACCTGGCAGTTCTTGCTGACCCAGCTAGAAGTGGCTGAATGACGCATTTCACTTTCAGGGGCTATTGCTGGGTTTTCATATTCATACTATAAATGGCACACTCAGATACACTGAACATTTTCTTTGCAGTCCACTTCAGTGTTGCCAGAAAGAAAGTCACATGCTATCTGGTTCTGTGCAAGTCACTTGCCCCTTAGTGGCTCCTAAGTTCTAGACAGACCCACCCAGAGTGTTTATTTGCTCATAAACACAGCATTACTCTCAGCAAATACTTCTGTGCCTTTGTTGCTTTCTGTGCCTGGAAGAATCCTACTTATTTTTTAAGCTTCCTCCCAAGTGAGAAAGCTTTCCCTGAGTTGGCTCAGCAGAAATGCCTTCTTCATCCTTGTGGATTGCATCCCGTGTGTATCTCTTTGGCAGCAACTTCAGCATTATAATGGAGTTTGTTACTTAGCTTTGTATTTTCACACTCTTATCATCCCTTTCTCTACTCACATACCAAATTGTGAACCCTCAGGCCTGTGACTTGTGTCTGCGTGTATCTATCCCCAACAGTTAGCAAAGGAAATGTTCAGAAACATTTGTCGAGTGAGTGGCTGATTGTATGAATGAATGAAATTGCAATCACATGGGAGAATAGAGCTCATTTGTTTCCAGCTTAATGGCTTTAAAAATAATCCTATATTTAGTTTGTGTTTCTTTTTAATTTTCCCTAGCGAACACCTTCTGCTATGTGCATGGCCAATTGTAGATGAAAAAAATAAATGTTGTTATATTTAAATACACTTCAGGAACAGTTTTTTAAAAATTTGCTTTTTAAATTTCAAGGCAACAGACTAGTGTGTTCCTTACAAACTTCTTGGCATCTTTCTTTTCACATGCTCTTTTTTTGCTCGACCCAGTCTTCAGTCAAATTCCTCCAAAGGGTCTGCTGTAAACAATGATTTTGTGAGTGGTTGTGTGTTCTTTGCAGTGAAAACCCGCCTTGTTTTCTGTTGCTAGGCAACCCCATTCCAGCTGCCATTGAAGAAATGCGCGGTGGTGGGAAATGGTGGGATTCTGAAGAAGAGTAGCTGTGGCCGTCAAATAGATGAAGCAAATTTTGTCATGCGGTAAGAGAGAGCACCCACAGCGCGGCCTCTGCCTTCTCTCCTTTTCCCCACCCCTCCCGTAAGCCCTGGGGCTTTTCAAAACTAGTCAACTGTGATTAATCAGTTGTAGCACGCTCCTTAGCTTTACTTCCAGCTCCTAGACAAGCGAGCTTAGGAAAGGGGTAAGGGGGAACATGCCCCAAGAAAGTACAAAGCCAAGAAGACTCAGTGGAGATATCCACTCTGCTGTGAATAAAGGCAGCAGTGGAAAGTGGAAAATCTCAGCTCTCATTTTAGATGGTAGAGTCAGGTGATTCTGACTTTTTCAATTGTTCCTTCCCTTAAGGCTAGCTCTCTATGAATAAATATCTTTATTGATTCATTTTATTTTGTTTCCTATTCTTCTTAGTTTTTTCACCAAAGCATTTGTAAGTAGCAAGTGGGATCTGAAGAGGGATTAAATATTTGAGTGGGTAGGAAAACTGGAACAAAGGAGCAGGGGTAAATTTCAAAACAAGGAGGATACTTGGTAAAGGGACTGAGCAGAGTGGTGATGTGCACATCAGTTCCAAGATAAACAGGAGGCCCCCACGGGAGCATGAAAAAAGGTTGCTGAGACATATTCAGCCAGAAGCAGACTGCCAAATTGTAGTTGCATCAGCCTGCACTGCTGGGTGATTCTGCCCAGACATGCTTACCAGCCAGGTATAGAAGGAATGACAGCAAGTGATTGGATGAGGATAGGTTTGGCATTATCTGGGTGAGAGGGAAGAAGGACACAGAGTGACAACATGGGGGGCTCTGGCTAGAGTGGGTGTAAAGTGACACACCTTGAAATCTGGGCTGGGCAAAAAGAAGGCTCTGAGATGAGTTAAGGAGAAAGGAAAGGAGCAAATGATGGAGTCATTCAGAGCAGGGATGAGGTAAGGGTGGCTCCTGGCCATGAATGAAAAAGAAATAGAAGAAGAAGAAGGTAAAGTCAAAGAATGGCTTTCTGGAGCATCTGGCGGATGAGTGGACATGTTGTAGAAAAAGAAAACATTCATTACTGAGCAAATAAGGGAACCTTGAGGACAGACTCTGAGGGGCCTTTCAAGTGGACCCTCAAGCCTCACTGAGGTGGGAATGATTACGAACCAAGTGCCAGCAGACTCCGTGGCCAGGAAGGGTGAAGACGGCAGCAACACCAAGGACAGAAAGCTGAGCGAGATTCTGCATTCCTGTTTATTTTTAAGTGTAAATGAGTAACAGTCTAGGAGTGGAAAAAAGGTATCCAAGAGAATGCTAAGCAACCTCTGAGCCCTGAGTTAAGTAGGGGCGGGAAGAGTAAAGACTTTGAGAGGGTTTTAGGAGAAGCCATGTAGTTGTGGGGGCTAGGTTCACTCTCACAGTTGGTCTCCTTGAAAAACACTTTTTTCTCACATGGTGACGCCTGCAGGAGAGTCTACATCCTTCTATACTCACCCTTCCTTTGTTCAGGTACCCCCATTTGTATTTTTCCGCTATATTGCAGCTTTTCTTTTCAATATATACAAACAATAGAAAAATGGAAAAAATACAAATGTAGTTCTTTTAGTTCCGGTCAATGCAACACCTGCTCATTGAGCACCCATGACATATGGGCCTTGAGCTGGGTCTGGGAATGGTGTGTTGAACAATTCTGTAATGGATTTATATCCTGGAGATGTGCTTGCTACCATGGGGGAATTCAGACACATGGGAGCTTCTCAAGAGAAGTGGTGTGTGAGCTGAGTCTTCTCTTCATTTCACCCTAAGCAGAGAAACAGCCTGGGTTTTACTCAAGGGTCCAAGGTGAGAGAGACAGTGAGTGCTGTTGCAGTGTCATGAACAGTGGAAAGAATGGCGTGAGATTGAGCCAGAGAGGTATTTAAGGCATAAGAGTGGAGAAAATCACCTAGAGGGCATGGATAGGTGAGAAGAGCAGAGCCCTGGTCCACCTTTAGGCACCCTCTCGAGTATTTTGGCATTAGGTGAGGCTGAGGAGCCAGCAAAGAGGACAGGAGGTAGGAAACAGGCCCTTGTGGTTGTTGACTAGGCCTGTGACCTACAGTGCACTGTTTTACCCTTGCTGGGGCCTAGCTTTCTAGTTTGTAGGAGGAAGCGGAAGTAGGCTAATTCCTCAGGCCTTCCCACTGTGGCAACTCTTACTCTATTGAAGACTGTGTGAATACTGTATCATTGTGACACCTTTTATGTAGTTTAGTTTAAATTTTCAAATTGTTCCTGAGTATGATTAGTTTATGTGCTGCTTCCAAAAATTATGTAAGGAAGAAGAAATAGATAGTATTCAACTCATAGACTGAAAGAAGTTAAGTGATTTCAGGTGGCCTTGATATATGTAGAAGTATAAATGTACTTCATGCAGTATAATAAATGTATTCTTGTATTATTCATGAGTGTGTATGTGTGTGTGTCATCCATTTGTGAAGATGGACATTTACTAACGTGTAGAAGACTAGGCTTAAGTACTGTAGAGAGTTTCTATTATTTCTTGTGGGCTGTATTTATCACAAGCAGAGAAGACTTTGTTAGCCTTATATGCAATCTGGTGTTGACATATTCAAGTTCGGAATTAATGAGCACTTCTGATTAGAGTACCTAGCACAGTATTAAATATAATGTTTATAAAATATGGGAAGATGAGGGTTGAAAGAATTCAAACAAGGTAGCACCATAATTAGAACTATGTATGCATATGCCTTTGATTTAATTTCAAAAGTAGTGCTGTTTTCATGACATATTTTAATTTTTAAAAGCCTTATGTATGGTTTAAATTATAGGAGTAATAAATGTTGATAGATTATTATTATTATTATTTTTTTGAGACGGAGTTTCGCTCTTGTTGCCCAGGCTGGAGTGCAATGGCACAATCTCGGCTCATTGCAACCTCCGCCTCCTGGGTTCAGGCAATTCTCCTGCCTCAGCCTCCTGAGTAGCTGGGAATACAGGCATGCGCCACCATGCCCAGCTGATTTTTTGTATTTTTAGTAGAGACGGGGTTTCACCATGTTGACCAGGATGGTCTCGATCTCTTGACCTCGTGATCCACCCGCCTCGGCCTCCCAAAGTGCTGGGATTACAGGCGTAAGCCACCGCGCCCGGCCCCTGATAGATTATTTTTAAATTACTTCAACATTTGTAGATCTATTAATAAATGGTTGCTTAATATGCATTTTGGGACATGCTTAATATATTGAGATAATATTATATATTCTAAATTAAGCATTTAATGAATAAGTATAGATTAGAAAGCATGTCATATGTCTGGTCCAACACTGTAGGGTATGTGATGGACAGATACAGTAAGAGAGAACATTCAAAATTAGCTCTGCGTGTACACAGTGATATACCAGATTGCAATTCAAAATGTCTTTTAGGACTAGGATATAACAATTTCATAATTTTCTTTGCTTAAATTCAAATACATGAAAATCAATTTCCCATTTCTCAAAGTAAACATTTGCTCTGTAGCCAAAAGCAATACTTTAAAAAATAATATTGTTGAATTCAGTTTATTGAGAAGGGCTGTCAGACAAATGTAAAAGGTATTGGATCCTTAAGAGGAACTGGTTGACTCAGGAACATGGATGAGGCAACATAATTTTGGTGCCTTTTCAATTATACACAAATGCATGTTTTGCATTCTCACATACACAAAAAGCATTTAAAGTAATTTTATGATTTTTCTACTTAAAGACGTCTTTCTATCAAGCCCATTTCCCACTTACTTCCACTTCCCAATTCAAAGAATATTTATTTCTCATTAATTCTCTGATTGGATCTCTTTTAGGATTATGAGCACGGTTGCTAAGACGATTTAGCCATTATCTGTTAATTGTGCCAACAAGTGATAATGTAAACTTTGAAACTTATTTTACACCACAATTATGCTTTATTAAAACAAATTGACTTTATTAAATGTGCCTTTTGTATACATCTTTGTAGTTAGCAATTTAGGAGTTGAGGAACTATAGTTATGTGCTTTTCCTAAGAGAAGAGATACAGGAAAGTGTCGCAGATATTTGCACTTAAAGAATAAGTTTACCCAGAAGAACTTACACCAAAATGTATTGTGATTATTTTCTGTAAATGCATCAAAATTTACATAAAATGTTATCTTTTTGGTTTTAAGCATTCCCCTCTGTTATAGAAGATAATAAACACCTGCAAGCTTTTCTTGAGCTATTACTCTGTGGCAGTAGATACGAAGAGACCCAGACACATGAGCCATGGAACACACAGGAAAACAAAGTATTTACTCATGAAAACCAGCTTGTTTAACAACAAAACGTGTTGACAGCACTCCCCAGCAATACTCAGTTTATACTTTTAGCATAACATAGCTGATTCTCACATGCTTCCAAGGGCAATTAAGATCAAAGCTTCTTTAAGAGACAAGTATCCAAATTTTAGTCTGTGTTTTATCCTGGAAGTCATCTTCCTCTGTGCAAAGATCAATTACATCACAAGACCACAGTCAGTAACCACAGCCTGATGAGCCTCGCTGTTAATGCATGAACTCACTCCCTCATGAGAGTCCGCAGGAAACCGCATGGGATACGGGGCAAACACTAGACTGTAGATGCCTCAAGAGTAGGTTCTGTGACTTGGGCTCCACCCAAAGTCCCCATAATGCCCACTGTGTTTGCTTTCAGTGGGTATTCAGCAAAAGCCACTGACTGGTTAACTGGCCTGTGGGTAGCTGCCAGAAAAACCAGTATCTTATCACCAAAGAGCAGATAAAAGGAAGATTCTAAATCAACTGAAACAAGTTTCCACCCAGGATGCCTTGATGTGGTGATAGTCACAGGGTAAATAAGAGACAAAATCAGAGAACTTGAGCTGGTCAGCTAAGTGGGTGCCTGGATACTGGGGGCAATTTGTAGGGAAAATTTAGTAGTTGGGGAACTAGAAGAGACTGCAATATTTGTAAGATATCTTTACCTACAAATAAATGAGGCTTTGGTTTACTGAAGTAATAAAAAGTTACAGGTGCCCTAATGTGGTAGGAGTCAAGTTAGAGATACGGTTGGAGAGAAGAAATGAGGACACAGTAACGAAAGAAAATGTAATGGAAACTACAGGCTCATTGGAGTTTTCATAGATAATAAATGTATATTTAATTATTTTTGTATGCCATTTCTGATTTGTGACATTTTTGAATATTTATTGAGTGTACACATCAAGGTTAGGGAATTTTTATATTATATCCCTTTTTTAGTCCTTACAGCAATTCAGTAAAAGAGGAAAAATCATTATCCTCATTTTATGTAATGGAGAAACTAAAGTCAGGCAAATGAATTAACTTGCCTAATGTTCCACAGGCAGAAAGTCATGGGATTTGAATTTGCAGTGGTCATATTTCCCATTGTAAGCATTCGTAAGACACTGTGGCCAAAGACAGCAACAGGGGCAGGGTGGTGTTTGTGGGTGGGAGTAGAGTGGCTGTTCCATCACCAGGGAAACATCACCTGTGCTCTTTCTTTGGCTGAGCTGGGAAACTTCTTTGCATGATGAGCCATTATGCCTTTACCAGTAACCCATCTGTGCAGTGACCACACACACAAAAGTCAGACATGCTTTGATTTAAGTGAACATGGCCCTGAAAGCACTCTTATAATTTAGATTGTGGGAAAATAAAGAAAAACCTCCCAACAATATATTAATTCCTCCCTGACTTCTGAGGTTTATGCGTGTGCAGAGGTACTGTAGGTCCTCTGTCCTCTAGTGTACCACGCTCTGCTGAGCTCTAATTCAGGTATAACAATGTCTGTCCTACCTTCTCAAAAATATTTTGATTTATTTTGTTTGTTTACTATACTCCCAACTTCTCTTTAGGTGAATTAATTACCTTTGAGTCTCCAAATTTAATGCTGATATTCAAGTTCAGGTAGTTCGAATTCTATTTCAGTTGCTAGCTGATAATCAGTATTTTGAAAAGAGTATATCTCTGGTTGAGGGATTGTATGTTGGAGTGAAAATGGTTAATGGTCTTAAAATTTGTAAGAAACCCAAAAGAGGCTAGGTGATATAAGAAAAAATATATCAAATCATTATTACCTAGTATTACACTAAGTTCAAGGCCAATTTAATACAAAATAATTTGCAAATAGTGACATCTTTTGATTGTGTTTTATTTTTAATTCTATTTGTAAATATGTAGTCTGCTCAACTGCCAGAAAAATAGAAACTTTGGGTTTCATGGCTTTAAAATCCTAGGACATAAGCAGGATTGTCAGGTAACATAATTGTAGGAACAAACTAAAATCTACAACTTTAGCAGCTACATATTGCCACATTAAGTATTCCAGAGTATCCCTCCCTTCTCAATAAATATTGTAGTTTAGTTTGACTTACTAAAACCCTTTGACTGCCGGAGGCATTAGAATTGCTTTACTGAAAATACTTTCAGAAACCTCAGGGGGTCTAATGTGGGGTGAGCTCCCTGGTGGTTGATTAATACTTTGTCTCCTAAAATACTGCTAGGTTTACATGTTGTTTATACTAGCCATTCCACAAATAACAATGCAGAATCAGCAGAGAAGTTTTGCTTTGAATTTGTATATCCACTTAACAGTAGTGGTTGTAACACAGGTTCTTAAGATTACAGCAACAATCTACCATGAGGAACTATTTCATTCATGAGTAAATTAGATTAACTTGGTTATCCAGTCCATAGCCAGTTTTTGCTGTTTTGTTTTACTCTTGCTTTCTTTGGGGCTGTGGGGAGGGTAGAATATCCTCTAGCTTATGTGAGAATCATCAACTAGAGAATGAACTGCACTACTAGCCACATAACCATTTGTATTATATCTCTGGTTGAGGGATTATAATTCCCTTGTTGTGCTTTGAACACAAATTGTAATTGCAATATTACTTTAACAGACCTTTCAACTATGTCATGTTCCAGAATAAAATTTAAGAAATATGACTCTAAAAAAAAAAATATTTTGAATGGGATAAATACCCCCTAGTTACTGTCTCTTCCTTTTTGTAGATCATTTGCCCCTTTGGCTGACATTTCCTTTCTTCCTAAACAGGAATGGTTTTTATGACAGCACTTGGAAGATGCTGATAGTTAATTATTCATCTAATGTCTATTAAAAGCGAGAGGTGTTAAAAAAAAAAAGCAGTTACTTGCTAATCAAGTTAGCTTTAATAAAATTCCTATACATATTATTCTAACTGATGATTTAAAGTATGCAAATCATTTCAAAAATGTTCGTTCTTGTTCCTCTAGATGCAATCTCCCTCCTTTGTCAAGTGAATACACTAAAGATGTTGGATCCAAAAGTCATTTAGTGACAGCTAATCCCAGCATAATTCGGCAGAGGTAAGAGTTTATGACTTCTGTTTCTGAGGAATGAAGATGATATCCTCTCAAGTACTTAGCATCTCAAAGGCAGTGAGCATAATTCAGTTTGGGAAATCAAGAGGAAAACCATCTGGAGAGGCAGGAAGGATGAAGAAGGGAATTGTAAATAAAGCAAGCAGGATTATGGGAATCCAAACAGTATTTATGCTTCCTCTAAGATTCTGTTTCTTGCCTTTAGAGATGGTAGAAGTTACATGAGGATCAATTGTTTTGCTTAAAGAACAGCAGAATATCCTGCTTACTCATTACTGCTACTTTTCAGTTTGTTGGCTTCAGTCCCAATTTGTTGATTGGCAACTGTGAACCGAATTAATATCAAGAATAAAAACAAAGCAATGGCCAATCCACTGCATATGCAAGCATTAGAATAGCAACATTGTCAGAATGTGCTAGAATGTGTGATAATAGTATACTATATTACATTACATTATATTCAATCATATTTGGGGGAGTGGATGTAAAATTCTTGTTCTAGTGTCAATTCTGGAAATCTTGAAATTGCTTGGAATCTTTGAGGCTGCCGTGGGAGCTTCGGGGTGGGGGGTGGGTCAGTCTGTAGTTGATGAAGTGCATCAGCGAGCTATCACCTGTTTCTCCAAGGACTGTTCATCATAGAGAATGAGTCCCTCTCCAAGGAAAGAGGAATCAAGCATTGCTTTAGGCCCTCCTGTGTCCCTAGCAATTAGGAATGAAATATCCAGATGTTCTGGGCCCAGGCCCTTTTCGTAATGAACAATATGTGTGTTCACTTATTCACAGTGTGGCACTACTTGTTTTTGTTCATAAGAATTCTCACAAAATAGATATCTAGAAATGCAATCAGCTTTTAATTTTGGCAGATACTGTGAAATTACCCTCCCCAAATATACCATTTATCTTCAGTAATGGATAAGACTGCTTGTTACTTATATGGAAAACAATACTATATGTGAAAAAAAAAGAAGAAGGACACATTATGCACTACTTAATTTGCATTTTTCTGAATATAAGAAGAGTTGAGTGGGTATTGACTATTAGTATTTTTTCTTCTGCCCCTTTGTATTTTTGGCCTACTTTCAACTTGCTTTTAAAAATTATTTTTCTGTAGCTATATAAGAACCCTTTATATTATGGATATTAAGTCTTTGTAGCAAATATTTTCTTCTAGCCTGTCACACATATTTTAACTTATATTCTATTGTAATTTAAAATTTTTATGCAATGAGATGTTAGTATTTTCCTTTATGGCTTCTTTTATAAAAACAATATTTCTTTGGATGATCTTTCATACCCTGATGCTCCTCCCTTCCATGAAAAAAAAAATTCTGAAGTTTTCTAATGCATTTATGGTTTATATTTAGAAATTTAATCCATGTAAATGTATTTACTTTTATTCTTACAAGAGTAATTTTATTGTTTTTAAACACAAATATATGTCATTATAAGAAATTAAACAGAAAAGTGCAAAGAAGAAATAAGAGAACAGAAGAAAATTTTTTTATTAAAACAATTTATTTTTAAATACCATAGATTCACAGAAAATTGCAAAAAACAATTTACAAGAAGGTTCTATGTTGTCTTTGCCTAGTTTCCCTCAAAGGTGACATCTGTGACTATTATTTTGATTTGGAAATAAAATAACTTTTAAGAAGGAACACATGTTCCTTTGGTGGGGAATGAAACGTTCGATATATTGTATCCAGGAGCAGAAGATTCTGTTTTTTTTCTACCTGAATATGTACAGTTGGTATAAGATTTAAAAAGGAATGTGAAAAAGAATGTCCAGAGCAAGATTTAGAACAAGATGAGGAGAGAGGGAGGAAGGAAATGAGGAAGGGAGGGAAAGAGAGAGATTTGTTTTAGGGAAAAAATGTAAATACAGAGGAAGGAAGGACAGGATCAAAAATTAAATTTTGAAGAGGAAAGTAGAAGTTGTTGGTTAAGACTTAAGCTCACTATGAAGAAAACAAGCATGGACAAACAAGAATTATTACCAACATTGGTAAGTATTTAGTTCACATTTATATGTTCCAGGTTCTGTGCTCTTTATTAGGCAGAACCTGGCGCTTAATCCTTAAAACAATCCTAACAGTCAGGAACTATTTTAATTTATGCATTTGACAGAAGAAACATGTGATGTGGTGAATCTAGGGACCTGCTCATACACACAACTGCTAATAATTGCCTGGACTTCACCCAGGCCTCTCTTATTCCAAAGCCCATGCTCCCAACCAGTGACCATCTCTGAGAGAAAAAAAACCCCAAACTGCTTTCTCCTCTGTTCTCACACTACAACACAGAAGACGGTGAAAAGAACTGTAGGGGGTTGGGGGGCGTCTGGCTCTGTCCCGTGGCCAGCCCCCACGCTGAAGCGGCAAAGGTCTTCAATCAACTCATTAACATGTAAAAAGATAGCACTGAGGAGTTTCTAAAGATTTTAGGAGATGCATACCAGGAAATGAGATCGAAGCTCTCGAATACATATTTCGCGATATTTCACCATCGCACCCTCTTATCGTTTTTTGTAAACCATGAGTTGCACAAGGAGACAATAGAGTTTTCCCAGAATAATCAACATAGAAGATTTCTGGCACCAATGTGTTTGTGTTTTTCCCCCACACACCAAGCAAGCAATCAATTCTGCAGCAGACACCAACGGGGTATCTCCAATTCAATTCCAACACTACCTGCAGATGGTGTCAGATCCCACAGGTGGAAGGCTCAGTCCCACAAGACCACCCCCCACCCCAAACCAGAGTTGGTTCCCCCAACTCTCTTTTCGGGTTTGATTAATTTGCTAGGGCAGCTCACAGAACTCAAGGAAACACTTGCTTACGTTTACTGGTTTATTATATTACAAGGGATTCAGACGAAGGAATGCGCAGGTTGAGGTATGGGGGAAGGGACATGGAACTTCCATGCCCTCCCTGGGCACAACACCCTCCAGAAACCTCCACCTTCTTATCTGGAAGCTCTCCAAGCCCTGTCCTTTCGGGGTTTATGGAAGCTTCATTATGCAAGCATGGTTGATGAAACCATTAGCCACTGGTGATCAACTTAACCTGTAACCCTTTTCTTCTCACCAGAAGTCAGGGAGTGGGGCTGAAAGTCCCAAACCTAGAATCCTGCCTTGATTCTTGCCAGTGACCAGCCCCTACTCTGAAGCTGCATAGGGTTAATCAGTCAACTGATTAACATCCAAAAAGGTATTACTCTGGAGTTGCTAAAGATTTTAGGCGTTGCATTCCAGGTAAATATGTTATAAGATTACACCATCACACCCTTTGATCTTTCTCCATGATCCATGTGTCACACAGGAGACAGTAGAGTTTTCACAGGTTATAAATCATTTTGTAAAAGTGAGTGAAAGTTTCTTCACTTTAAAAAGTGTATTCAATGTAACAAGGTTTCTGTTCAGATCAGTATGTGCATACCAATTCCATTCTGTGACATAAGAAAAAATTGCATTTACAATAGCATCAAATAATATGATATACTTAAACAAGAAAGCAAGTCCTCTTTGGAAAAAATATGAAATTTTACTGAGAGACATTTTAGACAACCTGATTAGCTGTACTGATAATACCATGTGCATAATTGAAAGACTCAGTATTGTGACAGCACCAGGTCTACCCAAATCTATCTACAGATTCGTTGAAATTCCAATGGAAATCCTAATGATGCATGCATATGTATATGTGTGTTAAACTTAAAATGGTATACAAAGAGCTGAGAATAGCAAAGAAGCTCTTGAAGAAAAATGATTGGCAAAGTTCCTTTATAAGATGTTAAGACTTATTATAAAGCTATTATAATTAAGATAATGTGGCTCTAGTGCAGGGATAAACCAATTGAGCAGTGAAACAGAATAGGATACTCCCAAATATTTCCACATATATATAAACCATTATATATGACAGATGTCATATTTAGATCAGTGAAAAAAGTATAAATTTCAAAACTTGTTAGGATACTTAGATTACTTATGGGGAAAATTGAATTAAATTAAATTAAATTAAACCTCTACCTCATAACTTATACCAAAAATTATTTTCAGGTGGTTAAGACCTAAAAATAAAGCCACTGGGCATGGTGGCTCATGCCTGTAATCTCAGCACTTTGGGAGGCCGAGGCTGGTGGATTGGCTGAGGAGTTGAGACCAGCCTGGGCAACATGGCAAAACCTGGTCTCTACCAAAAAATACAAAATTATCTGGGTATGGTGGCACATGGCTGTAGTCCCAGCTACTTGGAGGGCTGAGGCAGGAGAATTGCTCTAGCCCAGGAGGTCAAGGCTGCAGTGAGCCATGCTTGTGCCACTGCACTGAAGTCTGGGTGACAGAGTAAGACCCTGTCTCTAAAATAATGATTATAAAATTAAAAATTAAACCAACTAACAGTATGGCTAGGGACACAGACATAGCAAGTAAAACTATAAGGAACAATAGGTGGTCACTTCTCAGGGTAGGAAGAGTACTGGGTTCAGGTGTGGAATAATGGGACTTCTAGATTGCTGGAAGTGTTCTTTTTCTTGGCCAGGCTGGTATAACATGGATATACACTTCATAATGATTTCTTAGGCTGCACATATATGTTAGATGCTCTCTTCAGTATTTATACTTTACTAAAAACATCACAAAAAATATGCTAACTAATGGAGGACTGTACAACTTTTGGTTAATTTTAAAGGTTCTCAATTCGCTTTTTTGATAAAAATTGAATTCCAGAGAAGTATACTAGAGTGTAAGTTTTATATAAAAGAGATCTCAGTGTCTTGAAAATAAGGATTGATAGATTTTTTTTTTTTTTTTTTTTTTTGCAACAGAGTTTCACTCTTGTTGCTCAGGCTGGAGTGCAGTGGCACGATCTTGGCTCACTGCAACCTCTGCCTCCCCGGATCAAGGGATTCTCCTGCTTTGGCCTCCCAAGTAGCTGTAATTACAGGCGTGTGCCACCACGCCCAGCTAATTTTGTATTTTT